TGTAGGGAACTTCAATGAGGTTGATTCTTCCCCTTACTTGATACTTGCTTTTGAAATACCAAAATTCTCCCCACTAAAAAAATATTTGCTTCTTCTTACTGATGCCCTAAGCACAAGCTTAGCTGACCTACTGAGTAATCAAACACTAGGCATGGAGTTTCTTTAAATGGTGTGCTCCAACGACAAAAGTATAGGCTTAAGAATCTCAAATTCTATTGCTTGCTAGTATATCTTTTTGGGAAGATTGCTTAAGCATTAGTTTCCTCACAGAGTGAGGGCACTGAACCATTCGTAGAAATGATCATGTTAAATTGATAAAGTAAAAATTCCTAGCTCACTGCTGTTATAACAGTAGCTAATCAACATTTGTTGCTGCTATTATTTATAAGACATCTCAAACTCCTCTATTGCCCCAAACAAGATATATCTTTACTACCAAAACAATGGGCCAACCAAGGTTTGAATGTAATTTTCAACATTAATAGGCTATGCAAAATCATTTTATAATGGATTTTCTATGGAGGATTATTTTTGTCTAAGACAAGTAAGAAAACCCACATGATTACAACTCCTAGAAGTTAAGTCCTTCAAAAGAGAACACCTGTCAAGGTAGGTCACTGGAGAAGGCTTGTAAAATCTGGCTTTGTTCCTTACACTGGAAGCAGACTTCCTCCTTAGGCAATCAGAAGACAGAAGTTCCATCTCTCCTAATAAGCAACTATATTTATGAACAGAATTTCAACTTCAAAACAATCAAATAAAGAAAAAAGGGGAGGATAATATATACCTTTCATCAGGGGAAAGGGGAGAGTAAGTACAGTATAACAAGTTAAATTATTTTAGCACATTGCTACATTTTTTCCACAAAATTTATACCTCGTTCAGAAAAAGAAAACATAAAGCCTTCAATAAAGATTATCTTTTCTTTGCACAAAAATCCAGAAAGACTGTCAAGGATGAGTGCCACCCAAAGAAGAAAACACAAATATAATATACCTTATTTACTTTCCTGTTCAATTTTCATTAGTGACTGAAGTACTAGGTTCTAGTCAGTTTAGTACTTCCTTTATTAAAAAATAATAATCATTGACACTTTTTTTGGCATAGCACAAAAAAGTCATTTTAAAGATTGATAGATGTTAACTAAACACTGTGACAATCATTTCACAATATATACATGTATCAAATCATTATGGTATACATCTTAAACTAATATGTTATATGACATTATCTCAATAAAACTGAAAAGACTACTTCACTTAGTTTCTCTTCTATAAGAAACTAAAGAATATCCAACTCAACTTTAAAATATACTTTTAATTTTAAAGAAAAATGACATATAACATCCATTCTGAATAATTATGAGAAATGTTCTTCATCATATGAATGCGCTCTATCTACCAACTCCCATTAATAGGTAATATATTGTAAGAGGTA